ACATGCTATCGCTATCGCTACGTCAAGCACGAAGCTGCTCCTGCTGAGGCTTGATAAACCAGTAAGCCTCTCCACAGCATACTGGTTTCCTCTGCTATGAATCCTACTACAGTTCATAGAAATGTGAGTCATTCATCCATCCATCCATTCATTCATTCATTCATTCATTCATTCATTCATTCATTCATTCATTCCAAAGGATGGGATGATCCCATCATTTTCCACAGGTGGGATTGTTCCATCTAACTGGATCTGACTGCTTTGCTTTGGTTAGAATCAGACCCAATTCTGTTCATTTAAGCTGTGTTGGAATAAAACATTTGCTGCAGGAAATATAAAACATTTATCGATTTCACCTTAATAAGTTACATCTAATTTAAAATGTACCATAGTCCCTGCATGACTTCGGTTGTAGATCAGGGCTACTAAGATAGGTTGTATTTAAATGGAAGAATAATGGCTGCTAACTTACAGGGACCTGATCAAAGATGATGTCAGTTACGTTATTCTGTGGGCAGCTCTGCCATGAGTTGTTGAGTCTGAACCCAAAGGCACTGGTATGCCGCCCGCTCAGTGCCGCAAACTTCCTGAAGGTGCAGTTGTGGACGCTGATCGGCCCGTCGTAGATCTGCATGCCTCGGATAGGGAAGTCTCTGCAGGGAAACAAAGCCGGTTCAAGCAGAAGTTCATTAGACTTAGACAGATTTTATTTGTCTTTTAACACCGGTGTAAAACAAAAATAAATTTTATTTGGAACAGCTCTCTGGAAAATTTCCTCTTTAAAAAATATATATTTATAAAAAATATATATAAACAGTAATATAAATATATGACTGTAAATTTACAGTCCTAACTTTTTTTTATATAATGATAAAATATAATAAATATAATAAAATAGAATACAATAACCCATTTCTACAAAACATTCATCAGTGTGATGGCGGTGGGGAAGAAGCTGCTGCAGAACCTGCTGGTCCTGCATTGAATGCTGTGAAGCCTCTTCCCAGAGGGCAGCAGGGAGAACAGTCCATGGTAGTGGGGTGAGGGGTCATTGATGATGTCACGGGCTCGGGACACGCACCGCTGGGATGAAATGTCTTTAATGGAGGGAAGAGGAGCCCCCATTACACCAGACACCAGGTGAGGGTGTCTGTGATTATTGTGGTGCTGCTGACCACCTCTACAGCTGAGCTGTTGATGAGCAGTGGAGCGTGGTTAGGCCGGTTCTTCCTGAAGTCCACCATGATCTCCTTGGTCTTCTCCACCTTCAGGATCAGGCTGTTATCTCTGCACCACCAGCTGCTCCACCTCCTCTCTGTAGTCCAGGTCGTTGTCGTCTCTGATGAGGCCCACCACCGTGGTGTCGTCTGCAAACTTCACCATGTGATTGGTGGTGAACCTGGGGACGCAGTCGTGTGTCATCAGGGTGAACGGCAGGGGGCTCAGGACGCAGCCCTGAGGGGAGGGGCTTAGACTGATGACATCAGAGGTGTTCCGTCCGACCCGGACTGACTAAGGTCTGTTGGTGAGGAAGTCTAGCAGCCAATAGCAGAGGGTTGTATTGAAGCCCAGCTGTTCCAGTTTGCCCATCAGATGCTGTGGGATGATGGTGTTGAAAGCTGAACTGAAGTCCAGCCAGGTGTTAAAGATGTCTGTAAGGACACCAGCCAGCTGATCTGCACACTCCTTATATACCTGCCCAGGTGTGTTATCAGGCCCTGGGGCCTTCCTTGGGTTGACTCTCCTCAGAGTTTCCTCACTTCAGCTACGTCCAGGTTTAGTGCCTCCTCCCCCTGGTGTGGAACAGCTTTCACTGCTGGAGGCTGTTTAGTGCCTCAAGCACTAAGCACTAAACCTAGCAAAGAAGTTGTTCAGTTCATTTAGGAAGTCAGTGTTTGCTGCATCTACTGGGGGGGTGTGTGTTGTAGTCTGTGATCATCCGAATGCCTTTCCACATCCTCCTGGTGTTGCTGTCGTCGTGGAAAAGATCCTGGATCTTCTGGTTGTGGTTCTGCTTCGCTGATCTGATGGCACGGTTTAAGTTGCCACGTTATGTTCTCAGTGTCTCTTTATCACCAGACTTGAAAGCTGAGTTTGGTGCTTCTAGCGATTTCGGAACCTCTCCATTTATCCAGGGTGGTTGGTTGGCCCTGGTGGTGATGTTCTTTTTTATGTTGACGTCCTCAATGCATTTGTTGATGTAGGCTGACACAGTCATGGCATACTCATCAATATTTAACGAGTTGTCATATGTTGCTGCAGCCTTGAAGATGTTCCAGTCATAACATTCAAAACAGTCTTGGAGTGTTTTCATGGCGCCCTCAGACCACACTGTGACCTCTTTAACTGTTGGTTTAGCCCTGATCAGCTGGGGCTTATATGCAGGGATAAACATGAAAGATGGATGAGCTGATCACCAGAGGTGGGGGCGGGGGCTCTGAATGCATTTTTGATCTTAGAGTAAACCAGGTCTAATGTGTTTTCACCTCGAGTTGCAAAGTCCACATGTTGGTAAAAATGAGGGAGAACAGTCTTCCAGTTAGCCTGGTTAAAATCCCCAGCAATGATGAAAACAGCCTCTGTGTGCAGATTGGAGCTCAGAAATAGCCTGGTATAGAGTCTTCATGGCCTCTTTAGTGTTGCTAACCACACTGAACTCTCTGGGCAGATGATTTGTGATTTCATGATTTCAAGATTTCATGGGTGAAACACAGAAATAGGCTTCAGGTTTTACATAAACAGACTGAGCTGAAATATTTTAAAGCAAAACCAGGATTAATCACGTTGACATCAACATCCATTCTGAGCTGACTTACATGCCCCGGGGCAGTGTCCTTTCTGAAGGGTCGGAGCCTCCTGGGCCCCAGCTCTTGCTATCTAGAAGGAGCATCCCACGATTACGACTCTCACCAACAAAAAGTGAGTTCTTGACCTGCTGATGAGAACCATCATCATCCGGAAAGGTTCCTCCACTGTGGAGAAGTTGGACACAATGTATCATGGACCTCAGTAATGAAACAACTGATATTTCACTGCATGAAACTGGGACCACTTCTCAAGAACGCAGTACGGACTTGTATTCTCGCCAAGTGCTTTCCAGACTAGAGCACTGGAAAGTCTGTACTCGGAGGGGTACAGACTTTGATGACATCACCACATCACCACATTCAAAACTAGCCTGGAGTAGGGTCATGCAGCACTAATAAAGAGTTTCTTAGTGCAGAAAAGAACATCCTTAATATTGTCTCAAAGCAAAGAGGAAGGTATATAAAGTCTTACCTTGCCAGGGTGAGGCCAATGCCGTTATCAGCAAATCTGCAGGAAACAGGAGGAAGATTGATCTAATAACCACATTTCATCATTCTCCTGTCAGATTCAAACATCAAAAACAATCAAACAAAATAACACCTAGGCTTTTACCGCTATAATTATTCATAAAGTATTTTCAGGGTTTTCACAGTTAATAATGTTTAGTTAATTTACCGTATTTTCACGACCATAAGGCACACCGTACTAAAAGGCGCAGTCTCAGTTATATGTGCCATTACTGTATTTAACACACACATAAGACGCACCGGACTATAGGGCGC